GAGAAGTGTAGTTTTGCTAGTAAAGTGATCAAGATTATAGAAAGAATGTGAAACACTAAATTTGGACGTCTAATTCATTATGCAGGTAAATATATATTTATATCATTAGAATGTCTCATTCTAAATTATTTTTTTATGAAATTTTAAATGACATTTCTCTATCTATACATTTTTTGGGTTACTACTTCAACCTAAATTTTTTCTATTTGACACTTGAACATCCCCACAAGATTATGAAAGGGGTCAGATACATTATTGCCAGGTTGGAGAAAAGTCATCGAAACCAGGTAGCAACAATACAAGAAGTGTTATTTAATATTTCGGTAAGAACTTGATTGAGTTGTTTTATTTGTGAAGAATAATGCACTAAAACGGAATATTTTGTTTTAGCTTGTTATGTATAGGGATGCTATAGGATCTTTCGAAACTATATTTGCTAGAAATTCTCGAACTAAGATGGATTCAGGTTATCCCCTAACTAATATTTTGTTCATTCATATATTTAATCTTATGAATTGTTTTTGCCCTTACAATGCTTTTTGCATTTTAATCCAGCTGAATGGTGGGAGATATATGGTAGTGATGCACCTCACCTAAATAGGATAGCAATCAAGGTGCTCTCCCAGACATATTCTACTACTGGCTATGAGCGAAACTGGAGGACGTTTCAATGGTTGCATGCTACTAGAAGGAATCAACTCACTTCGGAGAAGCTTCAAAACTAGTCTACGTTCATTACAACTTAAACCTCCGAGAGCGACAAATAAAAAAGAAGCTTGAAGACTATGGTCCGATAGATTTGGACACGATATTTGTCACAGACACAACAGAACAATAGGTAGTAAAAGAAGAGGAGCCAGTGTTGCACAAAAGAGCATTCCTTGAGGCTATCGGTGAGGAAGATCTTGAAGAAGGTGATGAGCAGCATGAAAGAGGAAGCAGCCCGCCAACATATCCACAATTCGTCGGAGATGTCGGTGAAATTGCACCTAATGAGGGAGAGTGGGAAGGGGTTCTAAGGGAAAATACGAGAGATGATGATTCCGAGGTCACCTAATCCTAGCCAAATTATTCACATATCGAGTCCCAACAATAAGAGGATAGGGATGAATACGATAGTGTAGGTGAGCATGAAGGATGAACAAGCTTCGGAGATTTTGGATTAGGACCACAACAAAACACTAACACTCAAGGATTTGGGAATAGTCAGGTGCCCACTAATTTGGATGATTCGTTTTTAGATCAAGTCAATGAATTGTCACGCGAATTCAATCAATGGACCAAGATGAAGAACGACGTTGTCTGTCATTTATTTTTAGATCGTATGTTACGAATTGTATGCTTTATTGTAGTTCATGTATGATGATATACTTAATCTATGATAATTCTATGTTTATCCTTTTGTGTGATGTAAATTAAATGGTAAATAGTAGTTCATGCAGAGAAAAACCATATCAATATTCTCATGTTTATGCAAAGAAATAAAAATTCTTAATTGAGTACCCTCATTTCTTATTGAATTCCTTAAAAACAACATTTATAATGAATTTTAATAATTTTTTCGGATTTTTTTAAAGGTTTAATCCAACCAATTCAGCCGATTCCCGATCTGGATCGTCATTGACCGATCCATATGGGTTTTTGAGATGCCCGATCTGGGTCACCGATCTGCTTTTTAAACCACTGGTTAGAACTATAGTTTTCGAATGCTATATGTATTTTTTGTTAGAAATTAAAGCTTTCTAAATTAATAGTTCCAAACCATGTCGATTTCTTATCAATAGTGATTTGATAGGTCTCGACTACTTTGATTCCTTACAATGAGCTGTTCGACTCCTAGAAATGAGTAGTTGGAAACTAATACTTCGAAGTTTCAATTCAAGAATATGGAGATATTAAAAATAAAAATACATAATATAAAATGTAAATCTGATGAACTTTCTTTTTTTGGGTGTGGTTTCTATAAGGTTGCAACCTTATACAATCCAATTAAGGCGCACCTCCAAATTTTATTATAACATGTAATTTTGGTGTAAAAAATTATTACGGTTATTGAAAATCTATTTTTATATCTAATTATAAAATTTTAAACTCTAAAAATAGTTAAAATTCAGTTGACTATAGACATAAAAATGGACGGTCCACATAATGTGTTGCAAGACGTATTATTTCTGGGACTTAATTTTTTTTTTTTTTTTTTTTCATATTCGTACATCTAGATCTAGATGTTAAATTAGAAAGTTTTTCAACATTAAAACAACATTTTCTAATGAATGTTTTAGGTATATTTTTAATTCAACATTTTAAGGTTGCAACCTTATATAAACTTTTTCCTTCTTTTTTTATTAATCCAAAACTCGGAGATGTAACCCTAAATTTCCTCATAGACATCGAGTAAATAGGATTTCAACCGAGTAACTAAATGGATGACATGCTCCCGCGGGAACATATAACCGGTCTCTGGCGTTTTTAAGTGGTCTCGCTCTACACCGGATTCCGTCGCGACAATATAAGACGAAGCATTTTGCCCTCGCAACGCAGGCGCTCTGGGAGCTCTAATTCGCCATTTCGCGTGAGATTGGAGTGCCTGGTAGTTCTCTCAGATCAGGTGGAGGTTACTGGTGCCCTAATTTCCTACTCCTTTTTGCATCAGGGCTTGTTCTATTGCTAGGAACTCTTTTTTTTTTTAATCAAAATTAAGGGGTTTTGTCTTGCTGTCTTGCTCTTGAGGATTATCATCTGCTGGTTATTGGATCTTGGAAGCTTTTGTTTTGGAGGGTTTAGGACTTGGTATGATGAATGATTTTTGGTGGATAATGGTCATTCGGTTATTATAAATTTATAATTATTTGTTATCTGGGGCATTTTGAGGCTCTAGGGTTTTCTCTTTGTCTTGATTGTTACGACTTTGAACAGATTTGTGGTGATTGCTTTGTTTTGCTTTTGTCCCTGCTATTTAATGTGACCTAGGTTTCTCTTTGGTTTGTTTGCCTGTTGGAAAATGCTTCTTCGGTTTTGTTTCATTTGATTTTTTCTATCTTTGATGAATGAATACTTAGGGTTACTTTTTTTATGATATGAAAATTTTATGTAATGCATGTTATGTTTCTCTTTGATGTGTATCTGTTTTTGCGTGTTATTTTCATTTCATTTTTAATAATCAAGAATGTTCCAGTTTTTTGGTTTCATGTTAAACGTTTCGATGTGCTTATCTTTGATCTCTGTATATCTTTGGTTGTTAACATGTATGGCCATAAGGCCCAGCGTGACTTTGCCTACAATTGTGGGCTGGGAGGCCTACAATTGTGGGAGGAATTCTATGTTTATCACATCTTCACATGAACCAACGTCCATATGAATGTTGGATGAATATCCCTAAGATCAGGGAAAACCCTTTTTCGGAACGTTGGATGAATATCCCTAAAATCAGGGAAGACCCTTTCTCAGAGACCCTTTAGAAAGATAACCGCTAAGCCTTTTTCTTCTCTCCTATAAAATGGGAAGCTAGAGAAAGGCAGAACGTAGCGAGAGAAAGAGCACAGAGCTTCATCTGTAAGCAAAAATAACTTCTCTACCCTCTCTCAAAAGGGCAAAAAAAATCCGGGCTTTGTGATTACCAGCATCACAACATCTCTTCTCTGATCTCGGGTTGGTCTCGCGCTCCATCAATTTTCGATTTTCGCGAACATTAGTATCAGAGCATCCAGGTTCCATCTTCCCAATTTTTTTTACTCTGAATTTTTTTTAACGATAGAGCTTAAGTGATTTGTTTGTTACGATCTATGCCCAATTTAGTTTTTGTGTATAAATCATGCTTCAAATATCACCTGCTGCTATCGTATCTTGGTTCAGTGATTTGTTTGTTACGATCTATGCCCAATTTAGTTTTTGTGTATAAATCGTGCTTCAAATATCATTTGCTGCTATCTTATCTTGGTTCACAGTGTTATCTTGGTTCACAATGTTAATTAATTAAAGGATAAGTATGCATGCACTCCCTTTGTATTAATCAATTTCAAATCACCTCTATCCCATTTTTTATGCGTGCGCTCTCTTTGTCTGATAAGTTGTGATATGGATATATGATACTGTGTGATATGGGATTGACTACCTAATTTTTTTTTAGTTGATCACTTTGGTTTACTCTCTGGAACATCCACAAAAATAGGGGTAGTTGATCATTTTGATTTACTCTCTAGAACATCCACAAAAATAGGGGTAGTTGATCACTTTGATTTACTCTATGGAACATCCATAAAAATAGGGGTTTGGGATTGAAACTCACTGCAACATCCACCAAAATAGGGGTTTGGTATTGGATCCCACGACATTCTCTATTGTGGATACAAGGGTTGGCACGTTACCACAAAAGTTTTTTTTTAAACGTGTTTGAAGGGGCTGATGAGAGTTTTGGATAACTCAACGTTAAGACCCATACCACAGTGTTCCTTCTCTCTCTCTTCGATCAATAGCGAGAAGAGGAACAAACGTTGTTGCCTACCCACAAAACCTTGCGCTCTCTTCAATTAAAAAAAAAACGTAGAAGACAGAGGAAACCCTGTTGCATGCTAGTTGTTGTGCATATCTTCATTAAAAATAGATAACATCCGTGTTAAGCTTTATATCCTACTTCTAAGTGTTGATTTTGGTGTGGGTCCATTATTTTACATTGTCTTTGTCCGGTGGTCCCTAATGAGATAACAAATGACCTAAAGAATTTGATTTTGCTCATTTTTTTTATTGCTGATATTTCAGTTATGAAATAATAATATATATATATATATTAAAAAAAAAAGGGAAAGAAGAAGGGGGCTGAATACATATTTTGCTATTTTATTGCCTTGTATCTTGTTGATATTTCTATTAAGAATTTTCTTTTTTTTAATTATGGAAGACTTATTTTGCTGATACTTGAATACAATTATTACACTTAACAGTCTTGCTGTGATAATAGAAATTGATTTGTCTTCTCAAGTGAATCACATACTTGATATTTGCTCTTTTATTATAAGGGCTCTTGCACCCCAAATAAATAAATATATGGGGGAATTTTATCCTTGATAATCCTAGTACTTACTTATAAATTGAGAGATTGCCTATTTCAATTTTTTTTTAAGGCATCACTTAATAATTGATATTGTTTTATGAAATAAGTGCAACTCTTTCTATACAAGTATTGACCACATGTTCAAATTTTTGGTGCCTTGTTTAGCTTCTTTAGAACTTAGAAAGTATTTGGTTGTTCACACAAAACTTAGCAAATGGCTAGTAGAATTGTAATGGCTGAACTTTCTAAAGTTGAAAAATTGAATGGAAACAATTTTGGGATGTGGAAGAGGAAGATGGAATATCTCCTCATCCAAGATAGAATCATATATGTACTAAAAGATGATCCACCAGTAGTTGGTGATAAACCAACTGAAGAAGAAAAGAAAAAGTTAGAAAATTTTTTAGAAGATGACCTATAGCAAAAACTTCCATTTTAACTTTTATGCAAGATAACCTTATTAAGGTTTTCAAGCATCATGAAACATGAAAGAAAATGCTGGAGGCAATAAAAACTAAATATAATTTAACATCTGAAACACACCTCCAATTGGTTTAGAGCAATACAACTCATTCAAAATGAAGGAGGGTAATAATGTAGTGGAACATGTAAACAAAATACTTGTCATGGTTAAGGACTTCGCCATTGTTGGGAATGAAGTCCTTGAGCACATGCAAGTTTCCACAATCTTAAATAGCCTTCCACCTTCATGGAGGATGGTAACAATTGCACTTAGGTTGAATGCCAAAGCTCTTATATTAGGGGACCTACCTATGCAACTAGCCTTAGAACAAGAACATATGAACAAAGATAAAAGGAGTGAGCTCGTACTTGCTCAAGGACATTCCAAACTAGCCAACCCAAGCCTAAATTTGAAGGGAACTTTAATAAAAGGAACAATGGGTTAAAAAATAGAGGAATTAAGCCCTACAACCAATAAATTAAACAAGGACTGCCAAAAGGCTTCTTATGTGGTTAGCTAGGTCACTTCAAGAACCGCTGCCTACAGAACAGAAACCCGCAAAATCCAAAGAATAACGGAAATGGAAGCAAGAGGCGTGAAGTTGTTTGTGTGGTCTCTGAGTGCCTGTTGGCAGACCACGACATCAAAGGATGGTGGGTAGACTCGGGCGTTAATCGGCATATCGCAAGCTCAAAAGGCCTCTTCAAGGACTTTAAAGAAGTAAAAGTTGGGGAGAAACGTATCTATATGGGGAACAACACCTAATCTGATGTATTAGGTGTAGGAACTTGTAGGTTGTATGTGGGGACAATCGATCTTGTATTAACTGATGTATGTTTTGTCCCTTGTACGAGATGAAATATTGTATCGGTCCCCTTGCTTATTAGAAAGGGCTTTGAAGTCCGCTTTCGATGATTGAAACTATCAATCGGAGAGCGTGGACCAATTTATGCTTGGGGACACTTGGTTGATGATCACAACTTGTTCATTCTTCATGTAAATGAGAAAGCTGATAATAAAATTTCATCATATTCTGGTTATGTTGATTGTGTAATGATTGTTGATGCATATACTTGGCATCTTAGGCTTGGCCACATAGGAAAAGACAAAATAAATAGGTTAATAAAAGTGGGTCTTATTCCAATTCCAAGTAATGTGGAATTTCCAACCTGTCAGCATTGCTTGTCAGGAAAAATGACTAAGAAGTCATTCAATAAAGGGGAGAGAGCTAATGAGTTATTGAATGTGGTCCACTCAGACATTTGTGGGCCCCTCAATGTTAAAACTCATAGAGGGATGTCATACTTCATCACTTTTATTGATGATTTTTCTAGATTTGGATACGTTTATCTAATTCACCATAAATCAAAAGCTTTAGAAAAATTTAAAATATATAAAAGGGAAGTAGAAAATAAATTAGGTAGGAACATCAGAGTTCTTAGAACTAATAGGGGAAGTGAATACACATCTGAATTCGAAGCTTTTAATGCTTATTGCCAAGAATATGGTATTAAAAGACATACTACTATGCCTTATATGCCACAACAAAATGGAATAGCTGAATGGCGTAATAGAAGCCTCTTAGAAATGACTAGATCCATGATGGCTCATGCTAATCTACCCAAGACCTTTTGGGGCAAAGCAATGCGCACATCCATGTGTAATCTTAATAGGGTTCCAACTAAGGCAATAAATTCTACCTCTTATGAGCTGTGGATAGGTAGAAAATTTGATCTATCCAACTTAAAGAAGTGGGGGTCGACTGCGCATGTCCTAATTCCATATCAGCATAGAAATAAGTTAGAAAACAAAACTCTAGTTTTGCAATTTTATAGGATACCCCAAAGGATCAATGGGATATCGATTTTATCATAAAGATATGAGACTCATTGAAAGCAGAGATGCTGAGTTCCTAGAAGATTTTATTGAAGAAAACATACCTGTAGTAGATAATGGTAATCCACTTAATATCATAAATGATTTAGAACCATTACCTACAGTGGATATGGATAACCTTGATCAACATGATGGTGTTGAAATATCCACACACCCAATGTTAAGTGGTTAAAAGAGGTCTAGAGCTCCTCCATTATACCTTGATGACTTCTATGTCTATATGAGTGAGGAGACAAACAACCTTATTGATCTAGATGAAATCGATGACCCTTTTGACTTCAATGATGCTATGAAGTCCCAAGAATCTCAAGAATGGCTTAGTGCCATGAGAGAGGAATTAGATTCTATTGAAAAAAATAAAGTTTGGGATTTATATGATTTACC